TAAAATGGGTTTGCGAAGAAAGAGCCGACATTACCCCTGATTTAGCGGCTCGACTAGCCTTATATTTTGATAGCACAGTGGAATTTTGGCTTAATTTACAAAGAAGTTATGAGGAAGAAGTAGCAAGGGAAAAATCAGAGTTATTAAAAGAGGAGATTATCCCTTACAAAGAGAAGCGAGGAACTTCTAAATATGCCTCCGCTCATTAACCGAAAAAAGTTTAAAAAAAATGTCCGAGAATACCTGGAAGGTCAATGATTTTCAGAATGAGAGGGAATTAAAAATGTTGCGGAAACTCGCCAAAACCTAAAAATAGTAGCGAACGCAAGAGATAAAAGAGATTTCAATATGTTTACCACAGAAAAAGGAGCCAAAACCGCTTTGCGATTAGAGTTAATTCAAGGAACTAAAAACCATTACAGTATTAGAACTGGTGGATCATGGAGAATATTTTTTGTTTGAGAAAATAACCAAGCCTGAGAGATTGATTTAAGTAAGCATGATTATAAAAAAGTGAGAAGGTAAAATGGTTCGCACATTCTTGTAGAATTAGTGATAAAATCAACATATATGGTTCAGAATACTCAAAAATACATAAACCGACTAATTAATAAAGAAAGAATGTTTTATTTAGATTTAAGTAATGCCAATAAAACTTCCGAATGTTCTCATTGTCATAAAAAAAATTGAGGGGAAAATACTCCTAACTTGACCGGAGAAATAGAGGATTTAAGTGAGTTTCAGAATTTAAAAGGTATTAATGCTTCCAATAATCAGTTTACTAAATTGGATGCTTTGTTAACTTTACCGAATAAAGATAAAGTAGAGAAAATTAACTTTTTTGGAAATAAAATTGGGGAAGTAGATTTAGCCAAAATATTTACTGAATTTCCTAATTTAAAGTATCTGAATTTAGACTATAATCCGTTAAGTGTAAAAAATTTAAGTAATTTAACTAGTTCGCAATTAGAGAAATTGGTAGAGGGTATGAAAAATAAGCAAATTAGAATTAGTGCTAGTAAAGGAACGGTTTTGGCTGATTTATTGGAGTATACGCAAGGGTTAATTAAAAGTGGTGATGGGACACAAAGGCAACAGGCACAGAGATTACAGGCTATTTTGCAGAGTGGCTCAATAGAACCGAAAAATAAAGGAGAGAATAATTCTAATTATACACCGCTAATTATTGGAGGTGTTTTACTAGTTATTTTCGCCCTGATAGTTGGTTATTTATTAGGCAAAAAGAGAAAAATTAATTAATCATGCCTGAAATTTCAACTACTCCTAAAACTTCTTTTCCTAAAAATTTTGAAGTAAGTCAATTATTAACTACTTTTAAAGAAAATAGCAAAACCCTTCCTTTTAACTCTAAATTAAAAATGGATGGACTGACTTTGCTTCAATCTCTCGAAAATAACTCAGTAAGTGTGGTTGTTTTTGACCCCCAATACCGAGGAATATTAGACAAAATGAACTACGGAAACGAAGGCGAAAGACAGATAGAAAGGAGCAAATTAGTCCAAATGAACGAAAAAAAAATAATTTCCTTCGTGCGAGAAATCAACCGCGTTTTAAAACCCAGCGGTCATCTCTTTTTGTGAACCGATAAATTTCACTTATGCGAAGGGATAGCCGACTGATTAAAAAAAACAGATTTAGCCATTGTGGATATGGTGGTCTGAAATAAAGGTCGGATTGGGATGGGTTATCGCACGAGAAGAAGTAGCGAATATTTATTAATTCTCCAAAAAACACCCATCAAAAGTAAAGGAATTTGACTAGTTAAGAATATTCCCGATGTCTGAACTGAAAAAATTGATAACAAAACTAAAAAACATCCGCACCAAAAACCACTAGAATTACAAAAAATTTTGATTGAAGCTGTTTCCAAAACTGGTGATTTAGTGGTTGACCCCGCTGCTGGTAGTTATTCAGTTTTGGAGGCTTGTTTATCTTCGCAAAGAATTTTTTTAGGTTGTGATATTGAGACTTTTTAACTATGAAAATTAAAGACACCAAACCCGGAAGAAAAGACGGAGCCTATACCCGATTACTTGGCAACGAACAACTGGGAGCATTAATTAGTCGCATTCATTCAGCCTCCATTTCGTCAGGGGTGGAATTGGAGAAACTTGTTTTAGCCAAAAGTGATTTATTTTTAGTGCAAACCGCCGAGGAAATGGAAAGTTTACTTTCTAATGGAGAAAAGTTTGATAAGAAAACTTATCTAATTCCTAAAAAAGTAGTTAAAAAGTCAGCCAAATTCAAAAGCGAACATGAACCGGATTATTTAATTCTAAAAAAGGCTACTAAAACACTTTACATAACCGAGTTAAAAGATGGTGATGCTTTTGATACTAAAAAATCAGCAGGAGAAGCAGAGAGTTTACGAAAATTTAAAAATCATATCTCAGAAAATGTTCCTTATAAAACTCTGATACTGGTTTGCTGTTTTAACCAAACTAGTAAAGAAAAAATTCTTCAAGGGTTTAAAAATAAGATAAAACCGAATGAAGCCTTTACCGGTCAAGAATTTTGCGAGTTAATTGGGATAGATTATCAAGCCATTGTTAAAGAAAGAAAAGAGCAGGACCAAAAAGAGAATATTAGGTTTTTTTGTGAGGAATTGTTAAAGATTGAGGAGTGTCGGA